TTTGTTCATTGTAGTGGAATTAATGTTAAGATAGCGATTGTTAGAATTTGGTTGTGTCCCGAATTCTTTGTCGAGCATAATTAGGAATTTTAATTAAAGTACACATTGATAAGTGTGTTTTACACACTTAGCCGAATATGCTTTTATTGATGAAAAGAGCGGATATCGACTCACAATTGTGTAATTTTGAGTTTTGTATGTCATAAACCCAAATGTAAAGAGAATAAGGCAAAAAAAGAGAGGTTGGGGACCAAATTGCATAAGGGCAAAAACTTGGAGGACTTGTGTTGCAATTTATGGATGGCAAAATTGAAATGAAAGTCAAAATTTGAGGATCGAATTGTAGAAGAATAAAGTCGAGGGACCTTGAATGCAAATCACTAGAGGGCTTGTGTGCAAAAAGAAAAAAATGAAACTATTGTCTTGGCAGAAAATTGGTGTCGAGGCGCTACTTTTAAAACTTGGGGGACCATTTTTGTCACTTGCCAAAACTTGTGGACTTGGCTACAATTTTTCTAGGTTTTTAAAGTTAAAAAACCAGCAACGGGCTTCCATTTTGTCTTCTTCCTCTTTTCTTCCTTTTCATTTTCTTCCTTCTTTTATTTTCTCTTATTTTTCTTTTGATTTTTCTTGGGATTTGGGGGGAAAACCATAGAGCACACAAAGGAGAATCAATCAAATAATTGGAGAAATTTTGGGGGAATCAAGAGCTAGCTATTATCATCTTCACAAATCCAATCTAAAAAGAAATTTTTTTCTATAATCTTGTATTTTCTCCATTGTTTTACCAAACTTGTAATGTATTGTTATACATATTCTCTTTTTTGTCAATTGTATAATATTGGCTAAATATTTGTGTTGGGATTTAGGATAGTAGTTTAACCTAGCTTGAGCTCTTGTTTGGTAGAGATTAAAATCAAATTTTTAGTAGATTTTGATAAAAGTTGATGAAATGTGTAGTTGAAAAGTTGTGGGTACCATGAAATGTGTGATTAAAATTAATTGTTGACTTTGTCTTGAAATTTTAATTGGATTTTAATCCAAACCAAACAAGGGCTTAATTAATTTCACTCTTTACTTTTTAATGTTAAAATGCTTATTTTCATGCGTATCTATTATGTATTTCATGCATTTTCATTTATGTGGTCAATGAATGATTATGTTTAGTGATTTGTACATCGTTCGAGAGAAGATTATGCATTTTCATTTATGTACAAATAGTAGAAACCCTAGGTTTGTGTAGGGGATAGAAATACCCCTAACCTTGGGCGATTCATTGAACTATTTTCACAAAGATTTAATGCGGTTGTTTGGTTTTAATCGACATATAAATATAGTAGGTTAAATCAATCAATTATGATTAATTTTGCCCGAAAGAGCTAATTAACTAAAATTGAAAAATTGAGTTTAACATCGTAAATGTGAAATTTATTAATTGACTTGTGGAGAAATTAATTAGGCGATGATTGATCGAAACCATGAATCTCAACCACGTTTTCCTCCGAAATTCCTAAGATTTTTATGTTATCTTATTTTGTAGAATTTTAGTTAATCTTTCTTCTTTTCAAAATCAAAATCTTCATTGTGTGTTTGTTTTTTTCTTGTTAGAATTAAATTGATTAAAATTGTGTAATCGAAAATAAACATTCCTAGAGGGATCCACAACTCGGACTCAAAAAGTCTACTTTATTATTTGAACGCGACCGTGCACTTGCGGTTTACACTTTATAGCGAATATATATTAAAAAAATTCTATTTAGAATGTTATTGTGGAATCTTATTCAAATTTACTTGGAGAATTCTAGTTGAAATTCTACTTGGAAGCCCAATTGAGAGTTGTAATTTGTGTTGAATTTGAAGAGGATATTGGGATGAAGAAAATCAAGTTTTTGAAGTAAAGAATCTGAGAGTGGGTGCCATGGCTCCGGCACCACCTGGTCTGTTTCGCCCTATGCGATTTTTTCTCATCTACTCTATTTTGGACTCATTTTTATATTCTACTAGAACTACAACTCTACTATTAGGGTTTAAACGTCTCCGATTTGTCCCCTACATATAGTTAGTTCTTCATTATGATTTAGAAGAAGTTAGAAATATTATAAATACAAATATTTGTATTCTTTCTTTATATTATAATAAAATTTCCATTTCTGCAAATTATTTTGTTATTGTGTTCTTGTGATCAATTACTTCATATTGTGACTATAATTTCTTATTTTTTCCAACAATTTGGTATTGGATTAATCCGGTATCATCTTCGTTTCACAACAATAAGTCTATGTATATGAGTGTCGGTGGTGGTTTATCTCCAAAGTGGCTTGACTAGCTACTTAAGATATACTTGAAAATTAAGGATACGGGACACGTGGTGTCTTCACATGTTGATTTATATGAACACACGAGGATATACAACTTGCATATGAATTTTTTCGCTTAGCCACTTACGGTTGTTGGTTCAAAACTTGTCTACCATATCACGTTGGTTAATATTTGCATCAACTTCACTTCGTGAAGGTTGAAGTCCAAAAGCACCTTCATCTATGCATAAAGTTTGTGAAGTCTATTTAATAGATTTTAAAATTATCACTAATTTTGAAAATTGTAGAGGATTGTTGGAGTAATTTTCAAAAGAATGTCATTTAGACATTGGTAGATTAAATCAAGGAAGGAAATACTTCAAGACGCACTGCCAAGCGACAACAATGGCCTCTTTTCGTCCCTAACTGATGTTTGACTATTAGAATTCAATTTTTTTCGGTTTGTATTGATTTAATTCAAGCTCTAATAACTATCTTGAAGAGTTGTAACTCTTGGAAAGATATGTAATTCAATTCTATAAGTAGACTGAATGGTTTTTTTCTTTATAATCAAGATACATGAAATTGTAATCCGTTTTCACTCTACCATGTTCTACAATTTCTTGCATCCAAAATACCAATTTTAGGGTCCGTTTGATTGCAAGGGTGGAAAATGAGTGGAAATAAAATGAATTCTAGGGAAAGTAATTGCCTAGAAATTGTTTTCCAGATAATTGTTAATTAAGTGTGTTTGATTGGTATAATTTTCCATCTGGAAAAATATTAATTTTTGTGTTCGTTTGACTTTGTTTTACATGAAAATTGTTCATTAAAGTGATAATTTTTTCCACAATTGGTTATAAAATTTGTTTTCATTGCAAAAAAGTTTTTTAAAAAAAAATTTCCTAAAAAATTATTTTTTCATCAAAATTTAGTGTTCGTTTTGCTTTGTTTTACATGAAAAGTGTCCATTAAAGTGATTTTTTTTTACAATTGATTATAAAATTTGTTTTCATTGCAAAATAATAATAATAATAATAATTCAGAAACGTGGAATTCAGTTTTCCCACCAAAAAGGTGGGAAAACATTTTCATCCATTACATGGAAAATCTGGCGCGTGGGTTCAAGGTGGGAAAACATTTGGGTGGCAAAACTTTGTCCATCAAACACCTTGTTTTGTGGAAAATGGAATTATTTTTCAAGGAATTCAAGGTCAATCAAACACTGCCTTAGTGCATTCATATCTTCTTAAATAGATAAAGTAGAAATTTCGAGTGGACTTCAAATTTTTCAGTGTTTGGGTTGTCTTCGTGAGAAAGCCCAAACAACACTAAAAGTTTCATGTGAAAATTACCCAATTCCCTACTTTTGGAGATTCAAATTCCAAAATCAGATTTTAAGGTTTAAGTTTCAAAAATCAGATATTTTATATATAGATCCAGATTTTTTTATATTTAATTAAATACTAATAATAATATTATGAAACTTAAAATATATACACCTAAATTAATATTCAACCCTAATTGGCTAGCTAATTCACGTCTCTCACTCATCTCTCTCCAGTCTCTCTCTCTCACTTTAACGGCGGCGTGGAAAGGGGCTTCTCTCTGCGCTACCACCATACCCACCGAAAGTACAGCCACCATACCCACAGAACGCTTTTCGCCCATTGGCCCACCGGCACCATACCCACCAACTTCACGTACCATCGCCCATCGGCGTCGATGGGTGACTCGGAGGAGCAGCCACAAATCGCACAGATGCAACTGGTAAGATATGGTTTCCGGCTTC